AGGAATAGACTTAAGTCTTACAACTACCCAATTTGCTCTATTCACCAGTGAATTCAGATGTCCCGATCCTGGGAAACCTGTAGCCATCATTTGATTTTTTAAAACCTAGTTTTAAAATCTTGTAAGTAAAACTCTATAAATTAATTTGCTGCCAGAAAGTACTAAAAGCCATACAGTAATTTTAGAATATCTTAGGTTCTTGTTGCTCCCTGGGTGTGTATTTGACGCTGAATGTAAGTTAGTCCTCAAATTCCATTCTTATTCTTTTTTTTGGGGGGGGATGTCTTGATATATATATGTAGTTCAGGCCAACCTTGAACTCCCTGTGTAGCCCAGGCTGGCTTCAAATAGCAATGTCCCTTCTGCCTCACCTCCTTACTCTTGAACAAAATTTTATAACAAAAACATGACTAATGGCAAGGAGATTTTATAACTTCCTCACATAGTTTTTGGAAGCACAAAGTATGAAATAAGCCATAACAACTTTATGAAAGCACTGACTCACGCATTTCAGACATGGGTTAGGAATTAAAGCGGTCATAGCAAATAAAACCAAAGCACTTTCTGTTCATGTAGTGTTTCCCTTTGATGGTGAGAAAGAAGATACTAACCAGTAAACAAAGGATAAAGTTAGAATCAGTTATCAATAAATACAATGGAGACACTAAAGCAAGGAGATGTAAAGAGTGAAATACAGGGGAAATGAGTTGTCATCATTAATTTCTACTGGGAACCCAAGAAGAAGCCTTGCTGGAGAGGTGATTTTGTAGCTAAGGATTTAGGAACAAGAAAGAAACACTGGATAGCTGTGGAGGCAGAGCCTACTGGGCAGAAGGTGCAGCGTGGGAACAAACTTGTATGTTCAGGAAAGGAAATAAGGCCGAAGGGGTATGAACTCAAGAGAGAATTATATATGCAGAGAGAAGTCAGGGGTCAACAAAATAAAGACATAGTAAAGAATCAGTGTTTTGTTTAAAGCACAAGGGGAAGCCCCTTGAGGGTTTTAAATGACTTGTTTTGATTTCCATTTGAGAAAGAAAGGTCAAACTGGCCCACATGTGAGGAGCAGATCATACATCACTAAGAGTGTGAGCTCAAGAACAGTTTGGAGGCTCTTGCAGTCAACTAGGTGAGGATAATGTGACTCAGAGGAGTGCAGAAACAATGGAGATGAGCCTCACTGAGAGACTTAGGGCTTGCTTTGGAAATCTTACAGATAAGAATTGGAAGTGCACTAGACACAGGGGTTAGACAAGCCGAAGGGACGAAGATTCCATTTTCAGGGTGATGAAGAATGGAGGCAAGGGGGAATTTTGGAGGGAAACAAAGCCCCACCCCCATAGCTGTAATGTTTTCAAATTATGTGACTATACTGTATATGGAAAACAGAAAATAAGAACAGTGTGAGCAAGGCATGTTTGGTATGATTGGGAAGTGAGCACTTTTCTTTAGAAATGATGAACAGGTGAGAGAAGAACCAGAAGGTGAAGATTCTTTGCCTGACAGTGCCTTATTGCTTCTAGGCCTCAACAATCAAAATGTTTTTTCTTGCCCTTTCATGTGTCCTTTTATTTTACTGGCTCTCCCCCACCCTCCCATAGTCACTGCTCCTTGGCATTGTGCAATCCATTACATCCAAACAGTTCTCTGGAAAAAGATCAAATGTAAAACAAAAGCTTATTGAAGTCACTGAGGAGGACATTAGCTGTAGCACACTGTGGTGGAGTGCCAACTGGTGGTCCACTTGTTACACCCAGCTGAACTGAACTAGTGCAGTGCTGGGTGTGGGAGGCCCGCCTGAGGATTGTTGCAGGCAGCATAAGAGGCAGAACTGGAAAAGCTGTTGGGAAGCTGTTAGGGAGTTTCTGGTTCTCTTGAACTTATTCTGCTGAGTGACCTTGTCATGCTGGTTTTCCTAGTGAACTGGGCTGTTCTTGTTGGAGGAGGAGCTAGGGACTTGTTGTCACTGAGAATGGCTACGGTTCACTTTGGGAAAGCTCTGGTCCTCACTTTGAGCATTGCTTCCTGGCTCCAGAGGGGAAGATGGTGCACAGCTTTGTCATGTTGGCTTTTCTGCTAGGAACTCAGCTTTCCTCATAGCCGGAGGAGCTCAGGACCTCACTGTGCTGAGAATGGCTGTTGTACTTTCGGAGGAGCTCTGTTCCTTACTGTACCTTACCTTACCTTCCTGGCTCCAGTGCGGATCCCTCAGGCTACTGACATAAATCCTTCTTCCTGCTGGTACAGTTTCTAGCATCCACCACTGACCTTTGGGCCTTCCCAGCACAGATTCATGAAACAGGTCTGCTTGAGTCATTGTCATGGGCTCCGGGCTTCCAGTCGGACTTGTGGGTGGAACTGTTATGGGCTCTAGGTCTTCAGCTGGACTCAAACAGAACATTATTGCAGGATCCAGGCCCTCAGCCAGGTTCTTTGGCCTTTATTTATTTATTTATTTATTTATTTTTTGCGGAACCAGGGATTGAACTCAGGCCCTTGTGCTTCCTTGGTCTTTAGTGTGTGGACAGATTTCCTACACTGTTTTATATATGGATCTTTGGGTGACTACTATAAATAAATTTATAAAACATGTGTCCTGTATTGTATTGTTTGCTTTGCTAGATTTCTCAGTATATAGCCCAAAGAATGACCTCATCAGTATCATGCAGCAATCCATGAGAAATTCAGATTCTTGGCTGTATCTCAGGTCTACAGAATTGGAAACTCTGTGAGCAAAGGCCAGAAAGGTTTGGGTGTTTTGCTTGTTTGTATTTGTTCATTTGATAAAGGGTCTCACTGTGTAGCCCAGGAAGGCTCTACACTCATAGTAGTTCCCCCTACCTCAGCATCCCAGTGCTGGCTTTTACAAGCGTGGCCCTCCATGCCCGGCTGAATCATGTTTTGGCAAGTCTCCCAGATGAGTCTGCTGCAAGTGAAAGCTCGGCAGCCTGTGCTCTAGTAACGTGGAAGAAGGTAGTCAGCAAACGCAAGTGGAATCAAAGTATACAAATAAAATAATATAAAAAACTGTAGCAGTCAGCAGACAGTAAGGATGTGTGCACACATCACAAAGACTCACAGAGGAGCAGATGTTGTTTGACTTATGGTTTTCAATCAGGAATTTAAAGCATATCAGGTTGCTAGCTCTCTAGATCTTAAAAAATGTATACAGCATATGTTTGAAAAAGCAGGGAACTGGCAACTTTGAGTTTTAAAATCTCACTATTTTACTAGATTTTCTCCTTTAAAGAAAGGGTTTATTTATGAGATGCCTAAATAGAAGCAAAAGTGCTTTTAATAATCATTGCAGTGTTTTTTATTTTTGTAGCCAAAATTAAGCATAGAAGACAATTTCAGGATGCATTTTCCTAATATGTCTAAGTTTTTTAAAGACAGAGTGTGTTAAATGCATTAACTATTCCTGCGTTAAAAGAATAGCTACCCTTTGTGGAGAAGAAACAACTCATTCATCATTAAAATGGTTGTTCCTCTTGGCAAACTTATTGATGATTATTTTATTGTGTGTTTGCACATTTACCTTCTTATGCCTCCAGATAGCAATAGCAAATAGGCATCTGTGGATAACTTAAATGCAACAATTGGTCAAGTAGAAAGGAAAAAGGGAAACATAAAATAGATGAACGATAATAATACACACTCACATTAAATCTCTATTAATTCCTAAATGTATTGCATTATAAGGGAAACTTTCTATAAATTCAAACAATGTAAAATAATGACTTATATTAGAGTTAGCATTTGCATTTATAAGTAAGTAGCAGGAATTATACAGTTAAACAAATAACTACATTAAGCATCCATGATATAGGGGATCAGTGGATAATTGAAGCCACAGAAATTTGTTTCTTAAATTACTTTCAGCGCCTCTTTCTTAAACTTTATTAGAGATGCTGATAGCTTCTGTTTATTCCCTGATGCAAGTATTGCTAAATGATGACATTATTTCATTCATATTCCGTTTCACACTACTAGTCCTCTTCTGGGTATCTTCCTGAAGTTAAAGTCATCACGTTACAGCAATACATGAGTGCTCATGTTTATAGCAGAAGAACTCATAATAGCTAAATTTTTGCAGCAGCAAAACAGATGAATGGATAAAGAAAATGTGATATTTACAGACAATGGAGTACTACTCTACCATAAAAAAGATAAACTTGAGTCATGTGTAGCAAAGTGGATGCATCTTGGGGCCATAATGTTAAACAAAATAAATTGGATGCCCAAACTTAGTTATTGCAGTTTCTCTTATATGAGCAACCCAAAATATAAAGAATAAAACAAAAGACAGATAGTAGAGAGATAGATCTGTCTCCAAGGGGAAGCGGGGCTCAAGTGATGGAAGGGAGAGAGGAGAGAAAGGGGATAGTAAAAGAAATTAGGCTCTGTTTTATATAAGTACCAATTCCATGCAAGGAATGTAAACATCATGTGCTACAGACACCTACTAAAAGAAAATATTTGTTAAGCACTTAGTAAATTTCAGAGGCTAACCAAGAGATATCTATAAGATTTACAAACAAAAAAGTGAAGAGCCTCGGCTCAAAGGACTCAGTTTCCAGTGGAAGAATCAGATAATGAACATTATCTAGGTACTTAATTACACATGGTGATGGAACATGAGGACCCAATCAGGGAATGGATTTTGAAAGTGAAGGAATGTTCTAGATTATCTAAAAAAAAACCCCAAAAAACCTTAAGAAAGAAACATATGAATAAATGTGTGAATAAATGTGTTGAGGAGAATAAGCCATGTGATTGCAAGAGCATCCCAGGCAGCTGGGAGGACAAGCACAAGGGCTGGGAAGGTGGGGTATACTTGGGTATTCCCCAGGAAATTGAGATGAAGGTGAGTTGGGTGGTCCGAGGTCAGATAAAAGACAGATATCAGGCCATCTGAAGCCCCATGAAGCTTGATAAAGAATGCGGATTTTGATTACATAGAGTGGAATATCTGCTATAAGGCAAATATACTGCAGGAGGGGAAACGTATATGCCAGAGATCAGGAAATGCCACCTCAGAGTCCAATTGGGTAATGCTATGGCCAGCCATGGTGTAATTAAAAGTGACTGGATTCATTTTATTTATCTTTTTAATGTATTTAGTACATGGTCTATAGGGTCTCACT